TAGTGTCCATGTTTCACTTGCATAGAGCATTACAGGTAGAATAAGAGTCAAAAATTTTAGTTTTTCGACTGATTAGGCTTGATCTTAATTGATTTCTTAGTCAGGGTTCCTGCACGGTCAGGAAAACCTGCGAAAGTCAGGCTATTCTAAAATTAAGCTAAAAAGTCGGGATTTTTCTTACATATTCATAAAGTTAGGAAAATAAAAAAAAAACTATAGTTCATTCAAAGACTGACAGGCAAAAATAAAGTTTCAAGGAAAAATTCTATAATTCAAAATATGTAATTTCCTCATAATAACATTCCTCTTTCCCTGGTAGAACTTTCCTGTTAGCAATTTTCCTCCTGTTTATCCAATGATAAGGAATTTTTGATAGGGTTGCTAGGTTTATTGCTCTTTGTGTGAATAACTGGTTTACAGACAATAGTAGCTGAAGCAACCTCTGAAAAATCAAAAAAGGAATTTTTACTGTTTTGTGATGTTGCCAAAAAAAAGGAGAGCAAAAGAGTTTCTTATTGGCGATCGAAATGGGCTGCAGGTGGCGTAGAGCAGAACTCTTTTCCTATGGCAACACTTCACATGCTTTCCCCATTAGCCTGTGGAAAGTCATAGAGGAAGGAAGTACGTTAGTTTCTCTCTTGATNGTTTTCAATCAATAAAAGCTTATTGGTTGAAAACCTCAATGAAGACTCTATTATTTTTCAAAGACGTTTGTATGATTATGTTTCATTTATAAATGGAATAAAAAACATAGACATTAATGAAAAAATGCTAGATGCTGTGAAAGGATCTAGAACAAGATGGAAACATGCATTAGAAGACCCCCTCCCCCCCAAAAAAGAGAAAAAGAAACGAAATACTATGTACATACTCTTGAAATCTTTTTGTTATTAGGCAAAGACCCTTTTTCTACTATTGCCATAATTTTCTTTTATGAATAATAACAATGAAGATTTGATGTATTTATTTATCTAGCATTTTCTATGGTATTAGGTTGAGTTAATAATAACTTTTGCATAGAAAATTGAAAGTGCATGCTAATAGAAGTGAATTCTGCCAAAAGGGTATACTTGAACCTTTTTCGAAATCCAATAAATTAAAAATTATGTCTTTTAATAGTTTTAATATATCTATTTTATTATTCTCTCCCACTAATGTTACCACAGTATATTTTCTTTTACTTTTTATTTTAAATTTTTCAGTAGTATTGTTGAATTAGTAAAAATATCTTAAACAGTGAGAATATAGTGAAATTGCATATGATTTTGCTTTATCAAAGTAAGATTTGCTTTATCAAGATTATGCTTTATCAAGATTTGCTTTATCAAGAAGACCTATGCAAAGTAAGATTTGCTGATTTTGCTTTATCAAAGTTTATCAAAGTAATCTACAGGGAATGCCTACAAAGTTAGATGAATGAAGGCATTAAGCTAGTAAAAGAAACATGAAAACAAAATAACAAGCAGCCTTAAAAAGCAACACCAATTACCCACTCAGCACTAATGATAGTCTTTGATTAAGAGTCATGGTGGCTCAGGGGATAGAGTGTTCGCCTTCCAATCAGGTGAACTGTATTCGAATCTCAGCAACAGCTGGTCAATGCGAATTCTGCACCCGGCTAACACCAACCATAGTACCGACGTAAAATATCCTCAGTGGTAGCCAGATCATGGGTTAGAGTCCCTTTGTCGTCAGGTTAACCATGGGAGGTTTTTATGGCTATCCTGCCCATGTAACGCAAATGCGGGTTAGTTTCATCTAAAAGTCTTCCACGAAGGCAAATTTCTCCCAATCCTGGTCCCCTTGTCTTCTGGACTGGGTACAAAATTACAATGATACTTAGTTGAATATTAGTAGCCGTAAACCTAAAAATTGGGTTGGCTATTCGTCAACGGTTATAAATTTAAAATAAAATCTTTAATTAAGTTGCTATAATGGGTCTGCGTGTACCTCTTTTTGGTTTGATTGAGGCACTGATGCCACACCTCTTTCCTTGTGTTGGATAAAATTGAGACAGATCCTTTGCTTACCAAAATCTTTGTAAATGAACTGCCATTGTTAATTCTGAATCTTCTCATAGGCAGTCGTTCAACAGCATCAGTCGCTAATGCTTGATATTAATGATTGTCACATATGCTTTATATATAATGGTATGCCACACATGTTTATTGCCAAATCGAATTTCCTTTGTCATAATCCTAGCATGGTTTATTTCCCTTCCTGTAAACATTTAAACCAATTAAAAACAATTTTTCTATTATTAGACATCATTTTGGTGCACCTGGACCAACATTGCATAATCTACATTTTCTGAGGCTGTTAACCAATAAATGTTTTCATATTTATTCACTGTTAATTTCAATTTTATGTTAGATTTCTCGAACAAGCAGGTCAACCACTCCTGTCAGGCTAATCTAATCTTTGCTTTTAGCCATTCCCCACGGATATAATCCTGCATCTTAAGTTATGTTGCTTTACTTTATTTCTTAACCATCCACCAAACCATTTAGACTCAACCTGTATTAAAAAAACATACTAAGAAACCATGTTGTGAATATTAATGTGTGTATAATTATAAATTGAAATTAGTACATTTTATCAGAATTTCCATAATTTAAATTGAAGTAAATTTGAATTATTTATGTTTTAATGCCATGAGAACATTAATGTTGTAAAAGGATAATTTTTTTATTTTTCCCCCTAAATTTGTATGTTTAACATTAAAAAAATTATTAAAAATTAAATTATATTTCTTAGAATGAAATTCCACCTCATGCATTTTGTAAAATCAACAGAAATTTAAATAAAGGAGTGGTAAGTATCTTTTTTTTCGCCAATGGTGTGAAATACTATACGATATATGTTAACAACTACTTTTAATAAGTTATTACTTTTTAGTGACTTGTGATTGAAATTATCTTCATAACTTACCTTTCAGAATATTATTTTCATATTAAATTTTATTTTCATATTTAAAGTGGTAGTAAATATATACTATTTTTTCTTATATAAACTTAATTTTTAAATAATTTTGATCACCACTATTCTTAAAAAAATTAAGCATATAATATTAATATGTGTTACCATCACAGTCGTCATCTTAAGCATTTTCAAATACCACATATCTTTTTGCTTAAAATTGAAATTTTAATTCCATATTATTACCACTGGGAAAAACCATTATGGAAGGGATTAAAAGTTGGCAGTTATGCTAAAGCATATTTGTCATCTTTTTATTTAGTTTATTTCTTTTTTTTCCCCTTCCTTTTTAACATAATTTATAAGATCCTTTTTTGTTGTTGTTTGTTTTTGTTTTGTTACCTTGCCAGGATTGCGACTCCATGTTGAAAATAAGGAAAGCCTGGAAAATACAGGGAATTTAAAAATCATCTAAATTAATGGGGAAAATGCATGTGTTTTTTAATTCTTTTTTACAAACTCGGAATTTTGTTTCTTATTTTTGTCTTTTGAAAAATTTCAACCACTCAAAAGTGATCTATGAGATATTTAAGGATGATATTTTAACTATACTAAACTATTTAATTTTTAGAACACCTGTTGAAGTTCACCTGTAAAAGTTGCAAATTTTTCACACCATAAAACGTCAGAAACTACTAATTTTTATTTTGTTAAACAAAAATATTTTCCAATTTTTTTAATTATCTAGGTAAAACCAGTTTCCTCATCATATGATAATAAATATACAGTTTTGTCTCAAAAATTCGTTTTTCAAACTTTTTAAAAACACGAAACATTTATCAAATTCATGATTTAAAATCAACAATTATTTGAATAAAAAATATATTTTTAGTTACTGATCTTTATGTTGTTATTAATGCTGTAAAATTTATAGCTTAGAATAAACAAAAATATATAAATACTTTGCTATCTCTAAATATGAAAATAACAAGAAATCTTGACACAAAAATCTACTTAAATTCAAAATTCTATTGACAAGCGACCAGATTTGATGTATTATCAACAAATTTTGAATTTTCGAATGGGCATGAGAAAAATTGCTCTCCTGTTCTGTAGCTTCCAACACTTTCTCTCTAATTAAAAGAAAAGGTTATGTAATAAATAAGATTGATTGGTTTTTGTAGTTACTACAACTATCTTATTACAAATGTATATTAATTTGCATTGCAACTATTTTTTTTTAAATGTAGTGATTACAAACCACTTTCGTAATAAAATCCTTTTTTATTTCCTTTTAGTGGATGGATTTTGTTGGAAGATCCAATTTACACTTGTATTCGAAATTTTAAAGAATATTCGGATAGGAAGAAACAAATTAGTTAAAATAGTGTAGAATAATAACTAGCTTATTGAAACATGGGAATTTTTAAAAAAATATTTAATTCTTGATTAGAGGTAATTTGACATTTTTTTAAACAATCTAAAACAATATTATCATTCTAAATTAGAAAACAATCTAAACCATTCTGGCAAATTTCTATTTCAATATTCAACTTTGATGCCTTATTCTGCCTTTCTTAAAATTAATTTTTTATTTCAATTTCTTTTGTTTTTTCTGATGTTCTTTTGTTTTTTTTTTCTTTTCTTTTTTATTTCAATTTTTTTATTTCTGATATACGTTGGTCGATTCTAGAAAATTACCAAATATTTGAATTCAAATTTTTTGATTTTCTATATAAGTACTTTTATATCAAGGGTTGTAGAGCGAAATATATTCTACTGAGGGTATTATGTAAGACTTGTATTAATCATATTCGAAAAATTAGCAACATTTGAACTGCTAAATGAGGGATGCTCAACCTGAGATCTGAGGGCCACATGTGGCTCCTAAAGTCTCGTGACCCACGCAGCACCTAAGCAAAAGAAACTAATATAATTTTTCGAAGGAAAATATTATGTCTTTTAATTATGCCTTTGAGGTTTTGATGATCTAATTTAATGTAGTTTTTTGATGGCTTTTTTTTTTTCTTTTTGGTAAATGCTTTAAATTTCCCAAGTCTTAAAAGTTTCAATATTTTTATTTATGACATAATTACGATGCTTCAATTTATTGTTCTATCGTTTTTTTTTTCTTCGCGCACTTTTTGGCTCTGAAAATCCTGATATTTTCGATATATATTAATAAGACGTTCAAAAACTGAATTTTTTTTTCCTTTATCATTCTTTCATCAATTGTTGCTCCGCTTTTACTCTGTCAGTTTCATCACAAATCTAAGTAATTTTTTTGGATTGTTGTCAGTTGGTTGTTCTAGTTTAGAACTTGAAAGTATTGACATGTTAGGTTATTTTAAAATCTACTTTTGTTTTTCAATTTTCATCATGGTTGATTTATTAAAACAAATTATTTTTACATAGCTGCCAACTCTACTGAATTTTCCAGTAGACTACTAGTATTTGTCATTTTCTCCGGGTCTACTGGTTTAATTAAAATTCTCCTGGTTTTTCATCAATTTTGAAAATTCCCTAAAAGTAAGTTTCCTAAAAAAATCGGTATTGAAATAGAATTTTTGCACAGGTTATTGCTTGCTTGAATATTTAAATATGTGTTACTAATACATAAGCGAGTCTCATTTATAAAAAACAGTCTGAAAAATGTTTTTGTTCTAAAATTTTGAGTCTTTGTAGAATTTCCTTTTTAAATTAATTAAAAAAATCTTTTAACTGTCTTTGATGAAATAAATGCCTATTACTTTTCAAAATTATGAGTAAATATAATACATAACATTTCAAGTTAATTTAATGTTAATCATAACTGGAAAACATTGCAGTTTTTTCAGTTGTGATGAATATAAAATGCAAAAAATATGACGTGCAAAATATTTAGTACATTTTGCAACAATTATCCTGAAATTTGTGGTATTTTGTAAAATCTACTGGATTTTTACTTATCTATGTTGGCAGCTATGTTGTTAGATAAATTAATTATCATGAATTAATTATTAAGAACAAAATGTTTTATTTTTTATTGTCTGCCATGTTCAATTCTGATTCCTCATTTGCAAGTTTTGCTTGATGCGAAATCACATCTGCTTTCGTTAAAAATTGTTTGCTTTAACAAATAAAAGAAGATAATTTTTACTTAAACATACAATTATTTATCACTAAAAGACTATTATTTTATGAAGCAGATTGTGGCTTTCTCTTTTCAGAAGTGGTGCATCACTTTTACCACCTATGTTTTGAGTTTTTTTTTCTTTTTCTGACTTTTTTCCATATGCAAGAAATTTGTACTCAATAAATTAGTACTTCTTTTTCATGAGTCTTAAGATAAAGATTTTTTTTTAGTTCAGTTGATTTCATTATATTCTTCCTTGTTCTGGGTTTTAATATTTATGTTAGCTCTTCTTTTAATTAGGTAGTTGCACTTTGTGAAGAAGATCAAGGATACCCTCACAGGTGACCTATAGCGTCACTGCCAGTTGATCATTAAAAGAATTCTTAATTTAAAAAAATTTCTTAAAAGAGTACTAAATGTTATGAAAGAAATATACATATGTATAAGAATAAAATATAGTGGAAATAATTTAATTTACTAGTGCAATTTTGTGTTTCCTTGATTTTTTTCACACATTTTCAGCAAAGTTTCTTTTTTGTTTTTTTGTTGTGAGTTTCTTACCAATTGGTGGACGCTCAGAGGGTTGCTGCCTCTGGTAACTCCATCTCTTCTTCATCTAATTGAAGGCTTATTATATTCGGCTATTAATTTCCTGATTCCAATTATTTTCTTGTTTCTGATTAGAATCATTTTTCATGTGCCAATTTTTTTCATAAATTTATGAGGTATTAAAATTTTGATATAGTTTTAGAAAAAGACTAAGTTGAGACATTTCATAAGCAAACATATAGCTCTATAAATGTTGGGAATTGATATTTATGAAGTAGAAATGGCCATCAGTTATGGTCAGAATTAAAAAAATTTTAAATAACATATTTGTGTAAGTTAATAAATTCTGTCAATGGAATACATCAAAATATTTAAGTATCTAAAAACTAGTTTTTGTTTTAATGACACATTACAATGACTGACACCAGTTAATAAATTGCAAATTATAAAACTGAATCTATTCAGTACTTTGAATCACCTAATCAAAACCCAACTATAGGTCATAGTAGAATTAATCACTTTTATACATAGAAAAAAAAATCTGAGCCTATCTGTGGGAAATGTTGTTTTATTGTAAATTATTAAAAGATTTATTAAGGGAGAAAAGTTTTAAAGGTAAATATTGTTGCGAAAATTTCGAAATTTAAAAAAACGTGGAGGAAAGAAGATTTAATTTTTGCTACATTATTTAAGTCTCAAAATAATTGCTTTTCAAGAGACAAGTAGTACGAAGTACGCAAAACTTAATTCAAATTTTTGATTCAAAACTTGATTCTAATTTCAACCTGATTTCTTTTTCCTTTTGGAAGTTTGATTCAAATGCTTTAACTTCAACCTCCTCCAGGTAATGCTTAATTTATCAATTATCCTGCACTTTTCATCGATGGATTTTTTTTGTGTATAAGAGAAAGAAGTGTTATACAAAGAAATTTTCATTTTTTTATAAATATCTTATTGTATAGACTATTAATTCATTAAAATTGGATGTTTTCAATTACTTCCCTACTTTTAATAGTCATTTATTTTAATTATAATTTCTTTTCAAATTAATAGTGAAGGAAAAACAAATTTAAAATTTGGATGTTATTCTGTGAAAAGTAAAGAATTTCTATGGACAAAACCCAAAATCACGACAGAACATAATTATTATGAAGCAATTGTATAATAATAACCTCTATTATAGAGCAATTGTATAATAATACCTTATAAAGCAAAATTTTGTGACAAATTTATTTATCTAATATTTTACAATTATTATATGACAAAAAATTCTTCTTGCATCTTAAAAAGTAATACTCGACTACAGGGACGCCCAATCATTTTTGGATAGCCAGTCACAAAAATTACGAAGCATTATGTTGAGGGCCAAAACTAACTTAAATCTGTACTTCTCAAGTATTTTGATTCTAGTTGAAAATACTTATATGAATTACATAACTAAATTCTTCATATAAACTAACTAAATATATTTAATCTAAATTACTTTAAACATTGTTGGATGATTAAAAAGTAAATAAGTTAATGACAAATAAAAAAAAATAAAAATAAAGTAACCTACAAAATTTCATTTACCTCAAAAGTTAACTTTTAGTTAGCTAGAAAACAAAATTTGTTATGTTTCTTGTTGTAATATCGGATTAACGAAATTGGAATCTTAATATTTACAATTGTATACTTTAATATTTACTTTTCAGAGAAGAAATCTCTCTTATTTATTTGCAAAAATTCATAATACATTAATTTTTACTTTAACCTCTGAGCCGTTGCCATAGACGAAACTTGAAAAATTTAATTGTTATAATCTGATGCTCTGAGAAAGACCCAAATAAATCAGTAACTTATTGTACAAAGCGCAGCCACTAAAGGATTTTTTTCTATTACATTTTTTTAATATTTTTCCAAAGTTTTGTTAGTATTTTAGAGAATTTAGGACCCAAGTTAAAAGGATCACTTTGGGCCTACAGGTCATTCGTTGTGCTTTGATTTATAATGAATATTATGAACATTATTATAAAACTCCGTGTAATGAACATATACAACTCAGAGATGAGATTTTTTCGCTTTTTAGCGGATTTCCGCGTTTTTCGCTTTTGTCTCTCGAATTTTCGAATTTCAGCCTTTTTATCGAAAACTCCGATTCTCTAAAAGTTTAACTTATTTTATAAATATTTCGCTGTTTCAGAAAATTCAGCCATTGAAACTTAATAATTATATTTATTTCCGATTTTCAAAGATAAAAAGAAAATTCGAACTACTTAGCTACCAACCTTTCCTCATTTTTACTTATTTTAGCTATTTTTTCCGCTTTTATGTGCAAAAGATAAGATCTTCCGCATTTTTACCTGCCCGCCAGATAGACAGCTCGTATTTTCGTTATTCAAATGACGCTGCTTCAAACAAGCCTTTTGGAAGTCCCAAGCCTGAAATCTGCTTATATCTCTATTCTTATTCACCCGATTTTAATATCACCCATTCTCATAAATGTGAAGTCCAACTTCCTGCCAACCAGGCTATCCCTGCCTAGTTGATTCTTAAACTCGTTTTATAAAAATTGGTTTGTGTAAACAATAGTAAACTAAATTCAGTTTCTTTAAGAATTTAAATTTTTTATTCTGAAAACCTTAGTTATTTATAGTTTTAAAAAGTTGTACTTTATCTTTGCCATTTAGAATTTAGCACCACAGTCATAAAATATTTCATTTCCATATAGTTAAGGTAAAGCTGCTGCAGTAGAATCTGTATTTAAATATATTTGAACCGTTTTTTGTCATTATAGTATCAAAAAAAATTATTCTATTGTTTATTTTCTTGTGAATAATTATTGTATGTCACCAGATGAACACAGCAGAGAAAGAATGTGTCTGTTTTTATTAGGATTTTTGAAAATGTGGTTTTATATTAAAGAGTTTTATAACAAAATGTGAAATTAATTTTCATTTTCTAATGTTTTTTTAGGGAGGTTTAATCTCAGTGCTAAGTCACTTAATAATTTATAAGAGCTTCTCGTCATAATAAGAATATAGAGCTTTTTGAATGAAAGCCTGTGTTTACAAAAATGTCAGGTAGTATTTCTTTCTTTCTTAGTTCTTGCTTTTTTACATACCTTCAGTTGTTAGATAAGATATTAAAGTGTCAAAAAATGTATCAAGTGAATATGAATCATTTGAAGTTGGTTTTTAGTTTTGATTAGAAGCAGATCTGAGACTCCGTTGTTAATTTCTTGAGCAATACCTTATTTGCAATTGTTTCTAAAAAGTAAAAATTAATCATAACAAGTTTTATGAATATTCATGTTTTATTTCTACTTAAATCTAGTTATTACAAAAATATAAATATCAAGCATGTTTACCTTAGTTGCCAACTCTGTGCGTATAGTGAGCTGGGTTCGGTGAGATTATTGCACTTGCATGTGCAACTCTGCTGCATTTTGCAAGATATTCTCCATTTCAGGCTTCATTTTCCACCCTCTGAAATCAAGCTGAAAAATCTATCGATCATTTTATAATGGCTAATATAATCAAGAAAAGAGTTCTTTGTCAGAAACTAGTTATTTTATCACAATCATGTAGAGTCTTTGAAAATTATTTTGCATTTTGTTAATGTATCTAGTGCTTAAGAAAAATTTTTGATTTCTTAAAATTTTTCTTTCTCTATATTTGATGAAACTTATGTCTTGTGAGTAGCATAATATTTTTGTATCACATTTTCCAAATCAACTTTTTTCAGTTTCCACAGAAGGAAGCAGTATGAGTTATAAAATGTGCCTCATCGTCATAACGTATTTTTTTGAAAAAATTCTCTAATTAAAAATGGATTGTTATGTGTTTCAATTTTACTTAATTTTTATTCAATAAAGCCTTAAGTCTAATGGATACATTTTTGAAGCGATAGATTTAAAATATTTTACTTGAACGAATAAAAATTTGTTTCTTCTAGCTTGAAAAAAAAATTTTTTGCATATACACATGTTTATAAAATTTCAGTATGCTTCAATTTCCTGTTTTTCTGGCTTGTTTTGCAACAAGTAGAAAAAGTCCATAGCTACTCTAAAATTTCCTCTTTATTTGTAAACAGAAATACACAAAATCTTCATATTTTTGCTTCTCTAATGCTTGCAGCTATATAACTTGAAGAAGAAAAAAAAATTATGCATAAACAGTTAAAATTTTAAAGAATTTATAAGATCATGTTTTATATAAGCTTAAATAAATTAGGCTAATCTAAAGTAATTTGTAACTGATTTTCAGCACCTAAAAAATTGAGAAGCCAGTCTTAAATATACGCTTGATTCTTTGTTTCAGTTGCTAAATATACTTTTTCTTTTATATTATCATAACCTTTTGAAGGTTTTATTAGTAATAAAAAAAATTCGACATTAGGAAAATGCCCACTAATCTGTGAAGCGATATTTATTCAGTAAAAATTTATTTATTTACTACATTTAAAATGCATTTTTTTAATAATATCTTAAAAGTTAAATCATAATAATATTGTAATAATAAAAAAATATCATTTTCACGATCAAAAAGATTGTAAGGAAAAATATTTTTAAATATGATTTTAAAGGCAGGCTAGATTGAATTTACTTCTTTTTTTTGTTGCTGCATTTTTTAAAATTTTAAGAATGCATTTAATGCAGGATAGTATGAGCGAAAAATCTTAACTTTTCATGTCATGTTGGATTTGTTTTGTATGGGCCAGAAAAAAAATTCTTTTTTTATCATATTGAAAACAATTCCGTTTTTATTTTATCTGCTTATGAATAAAAGTATTAAATGTTTTGAATATTTTTTTGAATATAAATCCTATCAGAATTACACAAGTTAAGCATTGGAAAAAAAGTTTTTCTTGTTCAAACATTAGCTTATTCAACGTTTATTTATTTATTTTTCTCTTTATGTATTATAAATATGTTTGTAACAGGTATAAATAATTAGATCATTTCTAGGCAATGAAATCAAACTCTTTTTTTATCATTATGGAAATCGCACTGCTTTTACATTATGTTCCATATTACACTCATTATTCTTTGATTTCTCTATTTGGACCTACTTTTTTTGAAGGATATTTTTATAAAGATTTATTTTATTTTTTATTAATCAGAAAATTAATGCACCCAATTAGTTCTCATTCAAAGTTTTTGGTACTTCATTAGATGTTTTATTTTAAAATTTTAACAAACTAAAATTATAATTTATGCAATTAATACTTAATATAAATTTATATTGCAGATGAATATAGCTCCCGAACTAAGTGCTTGTATCGATAATTGAATTAGGAACACAAGCTTTAGGTGTGTACTTTGCACTTGCATTTGTGATCAATAACAGTGTAATTATTTATCACTTTTGTTTTTTTTTATGATTTCATTTGAAATTTAAAATCTAGTCATTATCGTAAATAACAGTAGTCATCTGCTTACACACTATAATACATCATTTGTGGCCAAAGTTATAGAGGGGATGGGAATATTAACCCTCCTGGCGTCAAGTCCGTTATAACACGGGCATGATTTCCATGCTGGAAGCGGCTTGCCCGTGTATGCACGGGTTCACGTTCTAGGTTTGGAGCGGCGATCACGTCTTTTTCTGAACTAGAATATTTCCTTCCTCCTCAACCTCCTACTGCTCACAAATTGAGAGGCGTATAAGCTGTCATCGTAAATCATTCACTGTTGTGCTAGAATATTTCTGTTTGAATAGATGTGAATAGTTTGCGTTCTTTCTCATGTTTGAACCCCAATCAAACCAAAAGTTTACCTTTGAAAAACAGATTAGTACATTTTTATTTTCTCCAACACTTTTGAAATATTGAATTTTTTTAAAAAAAATATATTCGTTGCTTAACTTATTATACTAAATCTTTAAATAAATAAAATCGTTTCGTATTTTTAAATTTCAATTAATTTTCGAAAAAGCATTTTTCATTTTAGAGTAAATTGCAGGAAACTATTTCTTGTCTAAACAAATGCAATATTTAATGAGCTGATTAATGAATTTTCAATATTACTAATTTTCCATAGTATTTAACTAATTTATTTAAATTAGTTAATTTTTTTAAATACTATGTTGCTTACAAAAAAATTAAAAAAAATTTTATCTGGCAAATGAAGTTAACTCTTAAAACACTCTCTCCTCTTTCTGTAATGTTAAAGACTTTCTCGGCATTTTTCTAAAAATCCCATCACTCAAAACACTAGTTTTATTTGTACTTTAGTTTAATGATATTAAAGCATTTTCGTGGATAGAGAAAAAATCGAAATTCTTTTCATTAGTAAATACATTTCTCATACATGTGAATATATAAATAAATATTTCAGTAATGATAAATAAGTTTAATAATAAACTCAAATTTCCTTAATAAATAATAATAAAAATATGTACAAGCTGTTAAAACTCCATATAACTAAGTGAGTAATAATATATTGAATATTTTTTTCAAGTCCACAAAATAAATGTGAATATCTTATTCCACTCAAATACATTTTAAATATACATACATTTAGATATACATTTTAAAGAAAACGATTTTATTTAAAAAGTATAACTGATTATATTTAAAATATTTAAGAAATCGTTGTGAAAATTCCAGTAACTAAAATAAAATATTAAAATCATTGCACATTTTATATACTTTAATTGTTGGAACACTTGCAAACAAGATTTTTTTTTTCTTACATAAAGATGTTTTATTTTTAATTAAATTCATCATTAATTTGATTCAAAGTACAATTTTTTCTATAATATCATTTGAAATCCAAATAAAAGTGTGTGTAAACTCAAGGGTGTAAGCTCGAGTTGTGTTGTAATTATCATGTTTGTAAATATTCAGGAAACTGGAAAGTAATGACGCTTCGGCGCATTGAATATTCGATAGTCTAAAAAATCCCTTTTTTTTACGATCCGGAATTGAAGGGTTGTTGATAACGAGGGTGAATACATTTTTGATAAAAAAATAAAATCTTGGTAACAAATATCAAGTGCATCGAAATGACATTACTTTCAGATCTCCCTAATATTTCACGAATTTAAAAGTTGTTCAATCCAGAACAACCAACGTAAGTATTACAGTACTGACATTCATACTAAAATATGCATCGATTGATTGTCTGAAAGCTAAAGTAGATGATTACATGATGTTTTTGTTAAGTTATTAAAATAGTTTTCAGAAGTTTAATTTGAAATGGGGGTACGCGAAGCGATAAACAAACCCTTATTGTGATCTAAATATGATCTAGACAATACTTATCATACTAGTATCCAGATATCATACTAGTTATCATACAGTTTCATATAAAGGGCACGCTTTCTTTTTTGTTCATGGTTAAAAATACTGAAAAAAGGTGATCTAAAAAAATGGGCGTATA